TGGCAGTCTCTAAAAACTCTATTAAATATCAATGTTTCCCTTCCAAGAAGGGAGAACAAATTCCAATTAAAAAAAAAAGTATGTCATCTTAGAGGGATTTTATGTAAGTGGGCATGTGTGAAACCTGTACAAAATTAAGCTGTTTTAAATTTACAGACACAGCAATTGAACCCAGTGTCTAAGTGTATGTTCTTTTCTGTACTACATTTCCGCTAAGATTGCAGAACGAATGACAGTTTATAAGTTGCTATTACCAACTCTGTCTACTATAGCAAGATACCTTAAGTTACAACAACATCTTAGGAAATAAGACTGAATAATACCTGTTATAGAAATACCCTACTCTTTACCAATTGCCACCTACCATTCCCCTTCAAAATCATGTGGGACAGGGAGGCAAAGCATTAATGGCACAAAGAGATGTGGTATTATCTGTTGAAGATATTTCGTAGTTTTATCAACAGTACTAGGGAGAAATGTTCACCTGTTGAAATATCCATTTTGTAAGACAAATTATAATGTGATCGAATGTGTGGAAGAAAATGAAATGAAAAAATAAATAAGAGGGAAAAAAATCATATGCAGCTGTCTTCTGTGACAGACAGATAACGTAAGAAATGTCAACACCAACTTATGTAGCGTATCTCTTGGTCTACCGTCTGGCTATTCTGTCATGTTCTGCTCTGTTGGTCATCTACTGAGTGGCAGTGCTTCCCACGAAAGGGTCAGCAGGATTACAGTCTGTAAGAAGTGAGCAGATAGAAAGGAGGGCCTTAGAAATGGTTAGTGCTGGATTCCAATTGTCTTTCACCATGTCCAAGCAAATTACTCCTTGACTGTTAATATTGCAGTGATAGACTCTTGTCTGAAATGTGGCCTTCGGAGGCTTGACGGGATACTCTGGTGTAAAAGTGATATCGAGGAAGAACACACCACCTTCATACATGGACCCTGGAGGCCCTAGGATGATGGATCGCCATTCATAGATGTTAACTCCTTTGGACCAGCACTGCAGTTGGGTGGATGGTCTAAAGTGATGTCTGCCGGCTCGTTCTAAATCCTCTTGGTGCTGGTAGAGAGGAACTTGGAGTTTTTGCTCATGATGACTTTACTCACCATCTT